ATGTACCTGCGTGCTAGGCACTATGGTTTTTTAGCACCATGCCTGGCACTTGCAGAACCTTAATTACAATCCAATTTCAAATTCTTTAGCATCTGCTAACAGGAGGGAACATACCCAATCCAAAGTGAATCCCACACATTGCATGATTAATTAAAACTAAAATTATTTATATTAGTTTTAATTGATCACACTATGTGTAAGATTTACTTTGGATTGGGTACGTTTCCTCCTGTTGCATCTGCTTTATTCACATCAGCTATATTTGTTAGAAATAGTTGGATTTATATTTGTATAATCAATTGGTATTAATATACAAATTATCTTTCACTTTGTTTAGCTTCTATAATAAGAGATTATTCACTATCTCGATTCTAATTAATAAAAAAAAAGTGTAAAATCAGAATATTTATATAATAGCATGCATGATTGTGATTACTTTACTACAAGGCTAATGATTTGGGTTTGGGTCAATGTCTCAAAGATCAGAATCCCAAAGATACTAAATCTCAATACACTAAATCCTAAAAGAACAAAATCTCAAAAGTATAATATTCTAAAAATTAAATCCTAAAAAAAAAAAATCTCAAAAAATTATAATCTAAAAAATTACAATCCCAAAAGATTAAAATCCCAAAAGATCATAATTTTAAAAAACATAATCCTAAAAATATAATTCCAAAGTTCATAATCCCAAAAGATATAATTCCAAAAGATATAATCCCAAAAGATATAATCCCAAAAGATATAATTCTAAAAGATATAATCCCAAAAGATATAATCCTAAAAAACCCTATATTTTCAACTTCAATTCTAATTATCAATTACTGTTTTTTAATAACAAATGAATAAATGCTTTATTCACTTATTCACATCTTTTTCAACTTCAATTCCAGCCACCAATTGCAGATTCTTGTTAATAAATAAATGCCAATTCCAATTACCAATTGCCGATTCTTGATAATAAACAAATGCCAATTGCCGATTCTTGATAATAAATGAATACCTTCAGCTCCAATTCCAGTTGCCAATTGTAATTTATATTGATCAAAATGTGATTATTGACCAATCAAATCTTAAAATTTACAAGTAAACTTTTATTATCATTAGCGAAGCTTTATATTTAATTTTATATTTAAAACATAATTCTATTTTATTTTTAGTCATCACAAACTCTACCAGAGATGCGATATAATCCTTAATTTATATAATTAATGAGCACAATACAACTCGTGTACACTGTATTGATCTGCTACCAAAGTAACTTAAACACGATTACAACTGCTTACCCAACATTTTAGCTCTATAATATCAATTAATACGCAAGATATATAGTAAGTATTAAGCATATAATATTATTAAAGTAACACACGGACAAGATTTCTATGCTGTTTTTCAAGATTAAAACTTACACGTAAACGTCTCAATCAGCCTCTTTAATTGATTATTTTTGGCATTTAAACCTTATGTATAGTTAGTATAGTAATAAATATCAGAATACTTGCTTCAAAGTGAAGTTCTTGAGAATGTTGATTATTTTTTGATTATTTTGCACAATAAATATAAACGTTCTTTCAAACCTTTATGATTTTTATTAGTAAAATATTACATTCTCAAAAAGTACTTTAAACTGTATAAATAAGTTACCCAGGCAATTAATTTTATCAACCAATCATATGAATATTGGCCTATAACCTCATCATTGCTGATTTAATAATAAAATGAATGTCTTATTCTCAATCCCAATTCTGTTTTTTTTTAATACACTAATGTTTCATTAGCATCCACCTTTGCATATTTTTGATAATCCATGAATACTTATGTCAAGCCAATTTAACACCATTTTCACTTTGGTAACAATATCCAATATTAAAGATTATACTCAGGCAGACCTTTTTATTATATGGCTATAATAAATTACCTGAATAACTAGATAATTTAAATAATACTCGAGTAGAGATTTTCTTGACGGTACAATCTCTATTCAATATTATATGTTTCACTAGCATTTTCTATCTTTGAAGATTTTTGATAATTCATGATTGCTTTATAGTGATCCTTTTCTACATTTCTTTTTTAACTTCGATTCCCTTTTATTGTGATGTCCAACATTACATATTGCTTTAGTATTTCCAATCTCTGCAGATTTGATAATTCATGAATGTCTTATATTCATTCTTTTTAACTCCAATTCCATTTTAATAAAGATATCCAATATTATATATTGTGTCCCCAATCTCTGCAGGTTCTTGATAATCCATTACGTTTATCTTTTTCAACTCCAATTCCGCTTTGATAAAAATATTCAACATTATATATTCTATCAGCATCCCTTGCAGATTTTTGATAATCCATGAATGCCTTAAATTCTCTTTTCAACACCGGTTCCTCCTTTATAATGATTCAGATATCTATTTTACTAGTATTCTATATAATAAATTAATGCTTTAAGTTTCTATTTCAATAACTGGTAAAGATATCTAACGATACAATCAATGATAATAATTCAAACTAAAACAAACCTGGAAATAAAATTTTATTGGATAAGTTTGCTGGTTCAAAAGTTGTTGTTATCGTTGAAATATAAAAAACTCAAGAATTTATTATCTGTATTATAATGATTAAATAAAATTGAATCGAGAATATTTTATTTGTTCTTGATTCAATTTAGATGGATACACACATGATGCCATGTAATTAGGGATCTAAACTATACCCTGGGTAACCGTATACCCAATGACCTGATCCGTAAAATTTGCCAACTGGATTATTTTTTTCGATAATTATATAAAGAAGGCTCCAGATATAAACCAAATTTTTATAATAAGCATTTTACACAAATTGGTGATAATGCTAAAAAAATTAGATATGATCAAGAATCTGTCGAGATTTCAAAGAAAAAAAAAATTTTAATTAATATTTATCGAAAATATGTTATGAGGTTTTTTTAATTCATCCAAGAAACTTTGAAAGTGCTAAAGTCTAAGTGTTAAGCAATTTCGAATTGATAAGTTTTCTAAAAAAAAATTTTTTCAATTATTTGCTAGCCAATATACTTTGAAAGTATCATATTTCTGAGATATGCATATTATTATAATATTTATATAGTCATCTGATCTTAAATTATATACATACGATAAAATATTTATTATAACTGTTTACCCGACCCAAAATTTTTATTAGCTTATTATAATTGCTGAATGATTTTTTGGCCAACTCGATTAAGTTTGTGATTTTGGCATAATAGATTAGATTGATATATATTATTAACCTGAAATTAGAAAATAGTATCAGTATCGTGGTCAAATAACTATATGGAAATTAAATCTATTATTATAAAAATAATACAACCATATTGATATATGGATTACTATATTCATTATAGTATTAAAAAAAATAATCCAGCATTATTCATAATAAACATAAGTCTGCTCAATATAGTAATCATTCAGAGTCAAGATATTTTTTAATAACATTATTACAAAAACCTGTAATATGTTAATTTTTGTAGTGTATGAGGATTATTAGACTTCAAGTATTGGATACCAATGTTAAATTTAAATTCGTATTTTCTGTTCCTGGTTTTGCGTGATAATATCATACAGCTACCTTATTAGTTATTTATACGGGTCACCTGAATTCATTCAGTTCATCCGAACTCATTCGGGTACCCAGGTTATCTGATTATATTTGGGTGATCCATTTTAGTTTTGGATACCCGGTTGGAAAAGACGGTTGACAGGTAGAGATTTTTAAACCGGTTTGGAACCCTCATGAGTAAATTAAAAAAAATCATAAAGAAACAATTTAGATTATTAAATTAATTGAGCTTAAATTATAATTGATTTTTGAGTGGTACTTAATTCATAATAGTAATACTAGATGAGTTTTCGTTTTCTACTCTGTTTATATTAAAAATTTTACAAATTAAAATCTCTTCATTTATTAAACTAAAGAAACGTTTTAATTACCTAATTTTTATATTATTTATTCATCATTGTATGTATATAATCATTGTAACAAGTTATAATATATAAATAAAATTTAATATATTTATCTCTTTGTAAAAAAAAAATCAATAACTTCGAAGTTTATTCTGACTTTAATTTTATCCTTACTTTTATTATTGCTATGATATGAATGAACCTTGTCAACTTGTTATATCGCAAAAGGGACATTCGAAATTAATGATTGATGGTTACTGTTTGTAAAAGATTATGCACGTGAAAATACTTATTACTGGTCATGTGAGAAAAGAAAATCAGAGCCGGAGTACTGCAAGACTCGAGCAATTACTATTCTTTTAAATGGTTTACATTATCTAAAAAAAATTGATAAATATGAACATGCTTCTCAAACCGGCAATGGTGAAATTGCTCAAGTTGTTGCCCGTATCAAACAACAAGCTCGGGATACACAAGATGCACCCTCTAAAATAATTCAAAATAATATCACCACTATTCCAAAAAATCTTTCACCTTATATGCCTACACAAGAGGCTCTCTGAATGAGAATTAAGCGTGTTAGGATGGCTGAAATGCCACTACAACCCAGACTCTTGATGAGGTTGACGTTCCAGACTCATTACGTTTAACCTTAAACGGTGATCTATTTTTAATAAAAGATTTGGAAATTAATGATGATGATAGAATCCTTGTGTTCACTACAAAAACTAATATGCAGCATTTATCTCAAGCACCTTATTGGGTTATGGATAGTACCTTCAAAACAGTCCCTACTGTTTTCCAGCAAATTTATACCATCCATGCACCCGTTGGTGCGAATGATAATTTTCAAATTCTACCTTTTATGTATGCTCTAATGAGTAATAAATCAGAAACACTTTATACTCAATTATTTTAAATTTTACGTAACTTTGCAGAAGATAATGATTTTCAGCTCAATCCGACAATGATCATTACTGATTTTGAACAAGTGGCGATCCATGCATCATCTAATACATTCCCAGATTAGTTATCTACGTATACGTATTTAATTTTTAAACGCTAATAACAATAAGTAAATAGCTAACCAATTAAATTCATCTAGGTGTTACAAATAAATGTTGTTTTTTCCATCTTGGAAAAAGTTTGTAGCGAAAAATACAAAAATTAGGATTAGCAAGTCAATATGGAACTGATATAGATTTAAGTTTGATGTTACGGTATTTACTTGCTTTGGCTTTTCTTCCACCCGGTGAAATTCTTGATGCATTTAACATTCTAAAAGCGGAAATGCCACCAGCTGCAGCTGATATTACACAATGGTTTGGTAATATATATGTACATAGAAATATTCAACGGTTATTAACTAATGGCAATGAATTACGTAATCTACCTCTTTTCCCACCAGAGTTATGGTCTGTTTATAGCTCTGTTGAAACTGGAGTTCCATGTACACAAAATAAAATTGAGGCATGGCACCATCGTTGGAATATCTTAGTTGATCGTACTCATGTAGGTGTCTATTCAATTATTAAAAAATTCCAAAAGAAACAACAAAATGTTGATTGTCAGATAGAAAGAATTCTTAATGGAGAACCAAAACCCAAACCTAAAAAAAATACAATT